ATATTAATTTATATAATAATAATAATAATGTAATTAATGTATATAATACATTTGTAACAGAATTCAATTGTATCTATATCTATTGTTCATAATATAACTTCCTTGAAAATTGAATAATTATGGTTTGTTTATTGCTATTTGTTCGAAAAAATCATGTTAAACATAATTTTTAATACGCTACTTTAAGAACATCATCTTTTAATACTCTCGACAATCATTAAAAATGTCACTTATTTTAATGACAGTTGTACAAAAATTAGTTTTTCGACTTCCTCTACCGAAAAAGCTACAGTGGTAGCGAAATTCGTCTAAATGTTTGTGAAAATTGTGTTATTATTATCATGGGTAGAATAACAATTTCATAATTTCTAATTTCATTGTAGGTACCTGTTTCAGACATCTGTCGAATCTTTTGGTGTTTTTCAATAAATTGGTTATATATTCAGCTGATATCTTGGTTACTGCAGCAGACATTTTTTTCTTTCTGTACCCTCTCATTCAAATGAAGCTAAACTAGCAATGTTCAAATGAGAATCAGTATAAATTGTGAAGTTTGGAAACTGTTATCTGAGAAGTAAAACGATACTGATTACTGATATATGAAAGGTCAAATGTAAAAATGTAGAAGAGGTTCATGAGCGATATAGTTCAATTTAAAGAAAACAAACTGACGAACAATTAAACGTATTCGCTTCAATTTGTTAACTTCTCTTACGGGACCGTTGTTTATGTCATATTCCCCTCAACGCCTTGGCTGATTTTTTAAATTACCGCACTAATTGTTTTTTTTTAACAAGTTTTCCTCTTTTCTTTTCTANATAATTATCATATAAATTAAGTTATCGTGAAATATGAAATGCCAACAGGTTATTATTTGTGAAAACAAATATTTGTGTAGTATAAAAATATTGAATCCATACATACTTTTTGATTAGTAAATTTAAAGTATCGAACAACAGTAATACATCATCAATTAGTCACAATCTAACAAATTTCCATCCAAACATGAATCCTTCCTTCGTTTTTCACTTAAAAAATATGTTTTATTGCATATTATATTGATGACACATGTGTAATTTTCTGTTGCGTCAATTGTAGGAAACTAATCTGCCCTTTCTATCTAAATGTGATGTAATAAGACTCCTGGAATTGCTATAGTCCAATGAATTGAACTTTGCAATGTATGCATTTCTTCCTTTATGAAGAACAAGTCTTTACCTGGTACCTGGCAAAATTTACAGACGAAGTATGGAAAATTATAAGAAATATTGGTGAACATTTACTCACAAATCCTCTAGTATATTGATGAAGCATGTAGTCCTCTCCAACTGCAACATTGCTCAAAGTATCCATGATATATTGAGGTGGTGGATAGTCAGGAAATCCTTGTCCAAGATTCAACGGTTTATAGTCTATTGCCATTTGTATGTATTCCGTCCTAGAGTGAATCAAAACATATGTGACTTTGTTGATGAGTTATCAGGTCTTTTAATATCATACCATACACTTTCTTTTGTTCCAGCATATCGTTGGGGTAGAGTGAACCTCTTATCAACTTCAGACATTTTTGAATGAGTGGTCGAAATTGATCGAAGGAACAATTTGACAAAACTTGTGCTTGCTTTCAAGTTTTTGGTAGAGTTTAATAACACGTTCGGAAGTAACATCTGAAAAGTTTCATATGTTGAAAATATATGTAAGGATGCACAATTTACCTTCTATTCTCATTCAAATTATTCAATGTTAAGGTTATAGCACTACTACACTGACCATAGGAAAATATTTGATAAACAATCTAAACATGAATATTCAAATTTCACATACTCAACTAAAAATTGTAATTGACCCTCCAAATATCACTGCTTCTCACTCGCACATATCCAGTTAACCACAAATTTAAAGTGAATTTTTACAAAATACAACGACACTACCTCTATCTACGTATCATAGCTCGAACTAATCCCTAATAAACTGATAACTGAATCATTGTCTAAATATGAATATCAAAATTATCCACCATTGCTTGATATTTCTCTTCCAACAACCACTCTACCAACTGTCAGTAACTGATAAAGAAGGTCAGCTGATTCTGGCTTTGTAGAAAGCTTAAAATACTGTGATTCTGGTGCACGAATTATACAGTGCTCGTCAAAAAGTCTGAATAAGATTGAACTTTTTCATTATTGTTTTGTCGAAATGAAAATGTTCTGTTCAATAGAAGTGAAGGTAAAACTGGAACCTTTGGCCTAAAATAAATCCAAAAAAGAAGCACCTTTTCCAATCACCAGAAGTTTATTACTCTTCTTGACGCGCGTTTCTTTAGTTTTCTTCATCTCCTGAAGACCCTTATTAGGTTGGGAAAATGCGCGTCTTGAAGAGTATTGAAGTTCTGGCACAGGTTCTGGTTATTGGGAAAGATCTTGTTCTTGAATTTGAACAGGCGAGAATGAAGTTTGTCAACTCAAACCCGAATAAGGTGAGCGTCGTAATAAATCATACGAGCGGGTAATGGCCATTTTTTGAGTGGAGAATACAATACTTTTTCTATGACTTAAACAGGAATACTCACTTCAAAATAAAAATTTTCTTCATCTACTGAAGATGCNTGTTGCTTGTATGTTATTTCTTTGTAATTTCAGTTTTTTGTTTAATGAAATTGTTATTTTCGGTTAATCTTTTCAATTTTTTTCAGGGATTTCAAATTAATTTATATTATATTAGACAATGGAAGTCCGAACTGATGAAATACTTCACGAAACATTGGCAACCACCTTCAAACATCCATATATCAAGTTTGTAAAAAATTACCAACATAATTTCTTTCAATAAATTGATGGATGTAGCCGTTACTACGTGGTACGAAATCATAATGAAAAATTGAGAACGGAAACTTTCTATGTTTTTTACCACTTTCATAGAAAGTTTCAATTCTCTTTTCTTTATAATAAAAGACCGTCGGGTCTGAATTGGCGATCCCTATATACTACTAATGATATATAATAATTATCTCAGTTATACTCGCACCAGAAAAATACACCCCCCTGTATATGGGATCGTTCAGCCGAAGGTATTTATTTTTCAATTTAGTTTGGTAGCGCGAGAGTAGAGTTGGTGCCACCAGATCAGAAAAAGTTTGAAATCCGTCCTGATCACACGGATTGAAAATTATGGGCGACTTGGTCAACAGTTGAATTTTTTACCTTTCTATCTTCGTAAAGCAATGGCTTGGTTGTGCCACCAATTATATCCTCAAAGACTTGATTAGGCCACGGCTTAAATGCGTGGTCTTTTAGAGGTTTGAGGAAATGAAATAATATCAGCAGAGTTTTCACAAACCAACTTTATTGACGAATAAAGTCGGCTTGCCCGCCCAAGATGAAGGATTATTTTGTTTATGCACCTCCATAATATGGTTATCAAATGGAAGGATTTGCTGAAAGAAATACAAAAAATGAAATGAGGCTATTCCAAATTCAATATAGCTGATTCCCAAAGTTGGTGGACTATGTTCTCTTATGCAACCCCTTGATATGGATATCAAATGAAAGAAAGGGTTCGAGCCGAAAAAAATTCGTAATGTCGAGAAACAAGATGGCTGCCATGCCAATATTGAACTCCACAAACGTTACAGAAACCGACCATATTAGATGTAAAACTTGAAATGCTCCAAGGATCAATTTTGAACCCCTTACATTCACAATGTTTGCTGATGACACAAACATTCTGTGGCATGAAAGGTTTTGATTTTCTATTTCTCCATCTTTATACAAAAAAATGACAGAACCTATCAAAGAAAGAAAGCAATTAATTTCAAAATGAACTTTTTACAAATATGCGCAGATCATACAAAAAAATAACTTTCAGACACAAACTGGAATAAAAACCCCTCTTGAAACAACTAATTTTTTTATATGAACATTGAATTATACAAAAAACACTTTTTCCTAGTCAGTTTGAACTCCAAACATTCGTTATGGAATCAGTTATCATTCACAGGATTGCTACACAAAATAGTAGGTATATGAAAGAGGTAAAATTTCACTTACATGGAACACTGTCATCCTCAATGGCGGACATCCGCCATAGAAACTGTATGGCCATTCTTTAGCCAGTGAGAAATTTTCTCAAGAATTCTGTCTGAAGGATTCAGGCTTTGAATGAGAATATTGAATCAAATTTTTCCTAAACGAGGTGAAAAAATTTGGGATCTTAAACATCGAGCAGTTAATTTTAACTTTTCCTTTGATTGGCTTGGCTCTAGTTGACCTAAAATTATTTCTGAAAGCTGATAAACGTTCCCATTTTCTACAAAAACCCATCTGCTTTGACAATCAATTAGTTAACGAAAAGTAATATACTTACTTATACTTTATTACATCTTCAACATGAATTCTTATGACTCAGGACGTTTGACTTACATGATTTATTACGAAGTGTTTTTTTTTATTGAATTTGCTGTAAGAAAAGGTCTTATACGTTTAGGAGTGATTTCAGTGCACAACAGGCTGGTTGATTTATAAAGTGGCATAGGATCGGTTAATAATCGATTGAGACTTTGACTTTTAAATTAGCTGATAAAGTATTTGGTTCAGAGTAAATATTTACATGACTTTAGGGATGTTATAGATATTGACAGTTTCTTCTGGGTGAGTGGTCAAGACCCAAACGAAGGTATTAAATACCATTTTGTTTAAGGATTTGAAGAGTGAAAAATGATTCAAATATCTAACAGGCATCAAACCAGTTAAACTTATAGCTATAGCTTATTTATTCGAGCTTTTGGTCATCCTCTCGTTGAGACTCTGCCTGGACTAAAGAGATGTATTTTGTTTGTAATATGTACCAATGAACAACGAAAATATCTTGTGATGATGGAAGATCAAACAGTTTGATCTTCCTCTTGAAGGTGATGGTGATCGAAACATGTATCGAGGTGTTAAAAATAGCAATTTGGTGTTGGGAAAAAATTCCAGTAATATTTCTTAACGAAAATATCAATCGCTATACTGTTATAACTTTTATTGTGTGTCTAACAGAGATGATGATGGTAATATCGACAATTATTGTTTGATTTTCCCTGATGAACAATTAGATTTGATTCTTGTGGAATCTGGCACATATGGTTCCGATTATCTGAAGTTCATTTATCGGTCATTGTCGACGTACTAAATATTTCGTTTGGCCTCCTTTCACTAAGAGTTCTCCTGTGGATTTGTTTCTGATGAACATTTCTAAAAATGCTAGCGATTTTCCAGCTCTCAACGTATTTGCGTCAATCTGTATTTCTTCTCCTTCTTTGGCGGCTTTTATGAAACTAAAAAAATAGTGAAACATTTTTCATGATAAATCTGGATCGATATACGAATAGATCACTTTTCATAACGAAATTGAGAAATTAAAATATGGTTAATAATAGAACTTTAACAAGAAGAGTTGTACAAAAAAGTAGTCTACATGAAGATAAATCAAAGAACTTTTAAAAAAATAAATACTCCAGAGTTGAGAAAACTATGAAAAAGTAAATGCCACGGCATTAACAAGAGAGTTATTGCCCATTTACTAGCTATGAATAGATAACGTACACTTCAAAGAAACACTTCAGATGATACGCGCGATTGTTTCATCGTTAGAGAAAATGAACATGAACTACTAATGGCATCGATAGTATCTACCTAATAAGTTATAACCAAACATTGTATAGAAGTGTTAGACTTGTTCTCCTGATTAATGACACAGTTCCGAATTTTAATTAATTTTAATATTCAAAGAATATATCAAAGAAAAATCGACCTGTTGCAGATCATCTCAAAATTTGATAGGGTAAACACTGTACTACAACCATTCGTGGTATAGTTCTGATGTGTGGGAGGTGTTCTTTTTTGAATCAATTTCACCTTTCATTATATAAAGATTGAAATTGTTTTCTATGCGCATTATTTATTCAAGAACACGAAATTTATCGAACATACGTTCAAGATTTGCTATATAATCGAAATTCCAATCCGCAAACTGTATGAAATCTGAAAATAGAATATGGCTTCTCAAATATGGAAGAGATATATTGACCAACAAAACTTCTCCACACCTAAAATGACGGACTGGACATTTTTTATGTGGATCTAGCGTTAGAGCTTGCTTTAATACTCCATAAAAACAACCCATAATACATAAACAATGTCTCGTTGAAATTATAATATAAGGAGTAGGGCAATATTCAGAAATGCTGTTTTCTTTTTGATAAGGGTTGAAGCATATTGAACTCTGTTGAATATGACGAAGAGTTTCTTATTTAAAAATAGATTTGGCACACAGTTATTCTGATCGCATTCAATATGTGTTTCATTTTCTACAAGAAACAAGATTCGAAGTTTTGTTGTAATATTATCATTTGAATTTTTCATTGTTAAATTTCATTTTTATATTTCATGGTTTTTTTTGTTTGGTAAGTTCTGAACATTTTTTACTACTATCATTTCCACTCTCTTGTTCTAGCTAGCTTTTTCGGGGCTACATTTTTTAATTTTCTTATTCGAATTTTCTACATAAAATCTAAAGACTGAAGATAATTGTACCTATACAGCCGTGAATGGCCTTTTAAAGAAAGTACAAAATATGTATTTGTATTATACACACGTCATATTGATTTCGACGGATACTGCTGCCTTCACGTCATCGGCGTTTTTGTGTGTTTGTAAGGCCCACGTGGATATGTTATCAAGAAGGAGTGCAGACATACCCCCATGCAAAGTGTCCCAGGGACTCAAATGTTCTTCTTCCACTTTCAGTTCTGCTGAGCATTTTCCATCACTGAGATTCAGTATTTTGAGCTAGTACCACTTTTATTTGTATAAGTTTGAAAATGTCCGTATAGGACGAAACTGCAGTAACGTTAGTTACAAATAAAAGTGGTAAAAAACGTAGAAATTTTCATTTCTCTTTTCATTATGCAATAAAAGGTTTTCCCTTTAGTAGATACATTTTCCCTGATTCTTTTTTGATCTGGATTTGTTCATTTTTCATGTAGAATCAGGTTGGAATCACTTCAATTCTTAAATATAAGCTCACTGTTTATGAAAATTGAAGCAAATATTCGAATAACAATTCATGAATGGACTGATCCGTTACTTGATGAACATTAATAACACTATCCATGATAATAATTACACAATTTTCACAAAAATTTTAATTTCTAGAAGCATTTCGCTAACACCGTTAGATTAAGATCGGGAAAAATAGGTTTGATTTCCGATATTCGAAAGGCTTCTCTTTAGATTGGCTTTACTTCGACGGATAGGTACTTCCTGCGTTTTCTGTGGTTTTGGAGGACCTGTAGCCCATTTCTGATCGGTGCGTTAATAGAATACCACTTGAAAACATTTTTAGATACGAATGAATACTAATTCACCATACTTGAAATCCACCATTTTCAAATTGCTGCAGGGTTTTTATGTCGATAACTGCGTGACTAGCTTGGATAGCTAAGAAGATATAAAAATCTTCATGGATAACACAGTTGTCGCAGTTTTGGGTCTTAACTGGAATAGAAATTTGGACACTCTGGAATTGAATTCTGATTCCTGTGAAGATATCAAGGATTTGATAACCAAGAGAGTTATTTTATCCCTTGCTCAAAGACTGTTCGATCCTATTGGATTTTCTTGTCCAGTATCGTTATGTCCCAAATTACTACTGCAGACAACTTGGAATAATAAGATTGGATTCTTAGCTGGTGTAGACTTAAAAACGTCGAAGGAAATTTCAGCGAAACCGTCTTCTTAGTTTCCTAGAGGAGAAATAAAAAATATGGAACTTGTCAACTTTGTGGAACAAGTTTTCAATGAGAAAGTCGAGTGCACTCGTTAAAAATGGTGTTAATACAAGCAACTATTTCAAGGTAATAAAGCGGAAAAATTAAAGTTATAGGCCCAAAAATCAAAAACTCACACGTTTGAACAAGTCCAGAGGTTTATAAATGAGGCGCCAGATGAAAAATATTTGATGATAAAAGTTGCTACTATTTTCGGAATATATGGAGCTTGCCGTCGTGAAGAGCTGTGCCATTTATTAATAGAAGACATTAAATTAATGGATAAATCATTGATTGTTCAAATTCCAAATACAAAAATAAGTCGTTCTTGACATTGACTATTTTAATAAATACGTTGCATTACGCCTTTCTGTTATCAATCATCAACGTTTTTTTCTTAAATACTCAAATTATAAATGCAGTGCCAACCCAGTTGGTATAAACACATTTGGGAAAATGCCCTCTACCATTGCTGAGTTTCTGAACCTCCCGGACCAAAGGAATATACAGGTCACTGTTTCAGAAGGTCTTCTGATTCTCTGCTATCAGAATCAGGAGCAAATATAACGGATATTAAGAAGCACGGAGTATGGAAGTCTACAACAGTAGCTGAGGGTCACATCGATCAATTTCTTATAAAAAGTCTCTTCACTTCAAGAATTAAATGTTTATGCTTATGAAATTGTCNTAGTTTTAATCTTCCTCTTTGAAGATGATCACTTGGTGATCGAAACACGTGTCGAGGTGTTAAAAATAACGATTTGGTATTGGGAAAAAACTCCAGTAATATTTATACGTTCGAATTTCGCGGTCTACGTACATTCGATTGGCGATTTTTTTATGTTGGTACACTCGTCTCTAACATATGTTCACAATTTCAGCTATTTAGAGCATGTTTAGTTTGTTGGTGAGAGACATAATAGTTAGAAGTGTTTTGTGTGTTAGGCGAATTTTTGCTACCGGAAAAAATTAATGAAAGAATTTCAAAAATGGAAGTAGGTGCTCAAAAATACTTTTGGGCACGAACCGTGTGGAGTTCGTTCCAAAATTGCTTTATTTTGACCAAAAAACCGTCGCATTAGCATCGCTCAGAAATTGTTGAAAGACGTCTTTCCAGATTTGCTTTGAAGTGTCATAACTGGTGACGAATCATAGGTATATGGTTATGACATAGAAATCAGAGTCCAATCGTCCCAATGGAATAGCTCATAGGAGAGCCAAGATCAAAAAAACACGCCAAGTTCCATCAAATGTCAGGGTTTTGCTCACTGTTTTCTTCGATTACCGTGGCGTAGTGCATCAGGAGTGTTTGCTACATGATCGTATCGTTAATAAGGGATATTATCTTAAAGTTATGCACCGCTTGCGAGAAGCAATACAATTCATGGCTTTTGCATTACGATAATGCACCTGCTCGCTCATCATTTTTTGTCCAAAAACAACACCGCCTCATCCACCGTACTTACCAGATTTGGCCCTCTGGGACTTTTTCCTGTTCCTAAGATTGAAGAGATCCATAAAAGGGAGGGTTTTGCGACGATTGAGGAGATAAAAACCGAATCGCTAAGGGAGCTCAAGAACATACCAAAAACTGCTTCGACGAATGTAAAAACCGCTGACAAAAGTGTATTATATCTGGGGGCGACTACTTTGAAGGGGAGAAAATTGAAATAATTGCTATGTGGACTAATTCTTCTTGCGAGAAAACTTTACCAAGGGGGTTGTTAGGAGTATTTAGGATAATCATTTTTGTTTTACTATTGAATATGTTTTCTAATTCATCTTTATCCAGCGACCAATCTGCTGATGTAGGAAGTCTTCCTGTTACTTCTCTCTGCATCAAGAGTACATTAAATAATTATTACTTATGAAATGAAATAAATGAAGAGGTGTAACACTACAGCAACTAGATGACACTAAAGTATATGAGAATTTTAAAATTGTTGATAATAATTTGGTTATTACTGTATATACTGAATTAGTACATTTATGCGATTCTCTTTTATGTCTGGCCCAATGAGTTTTTATATACATACTCTCTTTATTTTTGTATGTGTGAAATTTTAGTGTGACTTTATATCAAGTTCCGCCACATTTTTTTTAAAGAAAAATAATTCCTCGATTTTCTTAGCATAAATTCTACCTGGTTACGTAATCGCGCCCCTT